GTGTGTGTGTGCGCGTGTGCGTGTGCGTGTATATATATGGTATATATTGTACGTATATATAGGTATACATATATATATATATATATATATATATACATATATAAATAAATGATTAATCCTGATACAAATATACTCACTTGTTTCAAGGTCTCTCCAGATTTGTCTAATTCGCCTCGTATAGCATAAGCCACAGCCAAATTGTAACGTACCACAGCAGTGCCTGATGAAACTGTTTTAGGATACCATGCTACAATTCAAAGCATCAAGACATTTAGTTCCGGGATATTAAAATATATTATTATTGACACTGAATATTATTGAAAAGCTCGAAAAAATATTTAAAAAATTCCATGGAAGCAAATGGAAATACTTGCAAAATATTGAAAGTTAATTTTAAAAACTTTAAAATTAATATCTCTTTCCATAATCAGTTTTTTTTAGCAAAAACAATGTTATATATACAAAAAATTAATAAATAAAACTAAAAAATACAACAAAACATGAAACATTTCCCCCGTTTTAATTTTCAAAGCTAAATATATAATTTTCTAAATTTACCTTTTATAGGCTTTACCATGATATCTTCCATTTTTTCTTTATCCTTCTCTTGATTTTCTGGTACTGATATAAATGTATTTAAATCTTGAAGATTTTCTAACTTGAGGTATTCGAGTGCTTCGTTAATTTTGTCCATGAATATCAAACTTTCAGCAGCATACAAGTTGCCTAACATTTTATATGCTCCAGGCAACTTGTTAAAGCTTAACAGAGTTTTTGCATGTTCAAGAGAAAGTATATAATCTCCAAGACATAAAGAGACATAAGCGCTAGCAGCCAAGATGCTAATTTTTAAATTAAAAGATTCGATAGCTGTAGCTCGTGACATTAACGTTATATGTTGAATACCTAAAATAATTACGTAAAATTCATTTTCATTTTGCATGTATAATTTCACGTATAGTAAATTAATCTATATACCTAAGTTGTGACCAGATGTTAATGTGGATAGTGATGACACTGAATTCACCACAGTTGTTACAGGCACATTCGGTTCGTTATTGCTCGGTAGTAAAAGTAAAGCATTCTTCAGACATAAATAACCAAATTCCAATGTTGGTTGCGGGATTGCGTAGGATAGACCTTCCGAATGATATCTAATATCCTTTGAAAGAGCTGTGGCTAATATGATTTTTTTATGGATGCCAGAACCTATTATTTTCTGCACCAAATCTTTACGTCGTTTCGGAATATTGAAATCAACTTCATTTGACTAAAAGAACAGGTAACATAAGATTGCATCATTATACGCATTAAATAGCATGTGTAACTTCATTCCGATTACTCATTATCATCAATGCCGTATGTAACTACAACAAATAGTCACAGTATTTCTAAATTTCGGTGTTAATACTAATAATTATTCGAAAGTAGAATGATTCATCACATAATTGCAACTTACATATTTATGACTATAGATACAACATTCTGCCATTCTGAGCCAGAGTTTAGGATTATTGTTTTTTTTTTGAGCTACTTCTGTGAAGCAATCAAACGCTTTTGCAGCTTTACCAGCGTATAACAACGATACACCCAAACTATACATTAACTCGTAATGTTTATTACCACCAAGTGTATATAATGGTTGAGAAGATAAAGGATCTGTACAAAAGTTTTCTTCTTTTGATATATACACACACAAACACACACAAGTTGTTTGGAATAAAATAAAAAGTACAAAATACTCGCCATAAAAATATGTGCCTAAATCCAAATTTACTTTAATATGTCTTAGTGTTATTCTCATTCTTATTATTTTTGATAGTTTACGACTATATATTTGGGAACGAAAGGTACGAAAGAAAATGTTATATATATATATATATATATAT